TTTAAAAATAGATTGAAATTAATGTTACACATTACAATAATAGAGTACTCATATAATTAAAAAGTGTCACGTGTTCCAACATTGATATCACAAATAAAATAAAAATGAATAAAAATCGTTAATGGATATGCAGGTTTGTTGAACTCTAAATAAGCATTGATGCATACATTGCAACATGTATAACTGTATACAATGACCTTTATAGATCATAAAGATAAAAATTCGAAGGTCAGATTTACGGAAGAGAAGTCGTACGGAAACAAGAAGAGATGATGTTTTTTTTTTTTTTTTTTTTCTTAATTACCGAGTCTCTCTCGGAATCTCTCTTGGTCGTTTTATCGCACCCGGCAATTAGTCGTTCATTACGAAATTCGTTTTCACGCATGCACGCAGTTAAAAAAATATAATCTTCTTTTCGTATAAGAATAAGGGCCACATCTTTTCCATTTTTACCTTTGATAGTAGTTAATTATGGAAAAGGTGCGAGTCGCGTGGGACGTTTCATTAATAATGACGTCTCGTTAAACGCGATCCAATGCGATATTCATTCGAGGTTATCGCCTTTATAACACCGAAAGGAGGTCCCTCCGTTATAACGCGAGATTCCGACATCATTTTCTCCTTAGGAAATATACAACACCTAAGGCGATAACACCCATGATCGTCCTCCTCGTAATAATATTCCCCTTGCAAAGTTTTTTTCTTCTTTTTTAACTCTTCCTCTTCCTTTCAATTTTTTAACACATTTTACTTTGTCCCTTTTCTCTCTTTCTCTCTCTAAAAAAAAAAAACATTGAAATTACAACACCTTTCTTTAATCTTATTCTTCTTCTCTTCATGCAACATTTGTTTCTCTTTATTTATTTATTTTCTTTTTGCTTTTTATTTCTTACACAAAAAATTGCAACATCTTTAATTCTTTCTTTCTTAATTTTTTTCTTTTTGTCTGTCTGCTTTTTTTTTCTTTTTTTTTACAAATATTCTTTTCTCTTTACTTTCGATCGTAAGACCGAAAAGAGAAGAGCGCGTCGACGACTGTGTGTACCGAATGAAACGCGAGAATTACTCGACCGAGAGAAAAGTATTCGAGCTTCGTTGGAAAGGTGAAAGTTTGATATTGACGAACCGATACAAAATAGTGATCGACGAGGGAATCGATTTATTACGACTCCTTTCTTAACATTTCTCTCTCGATCGATATACTACTACCTTACGAATCTTTGAAACCAAAGAAAATAACAAAAAATAAAAAAAAAAATACAAGAAAAAGAAGATTATACAAATTTCACTTTATTTGTTCGAATGAAAATGAAAAAGGGAAAAAATGAGAAAAAGATAGAACTATATATATATATATATAGTTAGATTTTATCGACAAACTCGTGTGCCTACACTCGTGAAGCTTTGAGTCACGTATCGAGAAAGAGGGACAAATAGGGGAAAAGAAAGAAAGAAAGAAAGAAAGGGTGAAAGAGAAAGAGAGAGAGAGATATATATATATAGAAGAAGGTAAGGTTCGATATTCGAGTAAGTTTCTCGCACCCTTCTTGCGATCGGAACGGAATTTACGATTGTCCACGCGAAAGCGTAGGTAATCGACGATGATATCATCGTTATAAATAGGCACGCCTTCTGTCTCTTTCTCTCTCTCTCTCTCTGTCTCTCTCTCTCTCTCTTTTACATCTATATACCTATATTTCTCCACTTATAGTTTGTGCTATGCCGAGCGCACCTTACCCGTACTCTTTCTTTTGCAAAAAGGCTAGATATATATCGTCTCTTAGTGTTCGCGTTCAAATACTCGCGACTACGCACACGAGTGCACAGGTGCTACTCTAAGGTATACACACATACACATATACTGGTATTACTACTTCGAGAATGTGAGTATATATGAGTAACTTGTCCTCGAATAGTGGCGTCAGGATTTAGAGCGAACGGGAAGGCTAAGACAACTCGTCTATCCCCACCACTTTCTTCTTCTTCTTCTTCTTCTTCTTCTTTATTTTCTTCTTATACTTCTTCTTCTTCTTCTTCTTCTTCTTATCTTTGAGTTTCCCTTTACGCGAACGAGTTTGTTTATGTCACGATAGTAAATCGAACTTTGTCGTACAAACGCATTCTCTATGATCTACCTGTTCCGTAATAAGAGATCATATAACATGTCAACCAAAATTTATTTATAGATATTTTACTTGATTAAGATCGTGAGTCGTTCATGTAACCCATTTACATTCGCGTAAACGCAATAATCCGTTAAACGATTGCTTAACGGTAGGTATTTGAAATAAATTTGAAACTGTTAGCAAAATTGGCAGAAAATTTCATAAAAACGATCGATAATACTCGATGAAAAGTAAAATGTAAATATATAAAAAAATATGCCCTTGAAAAGAAATTAAAGTAAAAAAAAAAAAAAAATGAACGTCTAAATTTATAAGTGTATTTAGAAATTGAATGGAAATAAATGAAAAAAAAAAAAAAAATGTGTAAGATGAAATTAAATGGGGAATATTGTCAAAGTATCAAAGTATCATTGAGGGGGTAGGATATAGGGGAGAAGGAGGGGGGAGGGAGGGGGTACACGTAATCGATGTAAGTGTCGTAAGTTGTACGAGAAGTACATACTCGATGAAAGATACTCGTGGCAAGTGAAGATCGGTTTTAAGAGAAGAGAAAAGAGTATCCCGCCAGAGAGATCCTGAGATCGCAAAAAGTAATTGCAGAAAAAGGCGGTCGATAAACGCGACAAAATGACGTTCTAAAGACTGCAGGACGGTGGTCCCGCGGATTTAATGAGGAGAACTCGCCACTGTAAGATACTCGGTGAATCGATATACGTACGCAACGGAATTCGCAGTTGGATAAAAGCTTGCTTGCTTCTTCTGCTTCTGCTTTTATCTTGGAGAGGACTTCTCTTTCGAAGCCGCTGTTTGAGACGATGATCGCGGAAGAAACGCTAAATACGAGAAGAAAACTGGCTATTTGCTGTTGCTGACTTGATACCATTCTTCTATATTTTTTATATAATTTTTTTTTTTAACCCTTTGACTGCTAAGAGCGTATATACACGCTCTCACAAATCCATCAATATACGCCTTCTGTATTTTTTTACTATAACACCTTTATTGCTGTATTACCGATTAATTTAATATGGAATTTATTGTGATAAGTAACATAGCAACTAAATATTGGCAATTATTACAATGTCGTTTAGTTAATTGCTTTTATATTTGAAATTCGCCTATTTTAATTTTATTATTTTTATAAATTAGTTTAAAATTATTTAAATATCCTGTTAAAGTTATTATAAATACAGTGTTACATTATAAATTTTGTATTTTTTCTTTTATATTTAAATTACCACAAAATAAATAAAGTAAATTAAAATAGGTTAAAAAATTACTGTAAAAAAATGTAAAAAAAATTCATATTTAAATTTTATTTGCCATTATTATCTGTTTTGGTCAGTAGCCAATAGAAAAACAGTCGCAGCTACTTCGTTCGAGAGCGTACCTCAGTCAAAGGGTTAATTCTCACGATAATAGTTAATTTCGATCGTACTATCTTCGTTGAATTATTATTGAATACGTAAGAAGGTTCACACGGTCCATAAAAAAAAAAACAAAGAACAAAAAGAAAAAGAAAAGAAAAGGAAGCAGAAGAATAATACTTTCTGTACATTTTCCAAGAGGAAATAAAGGATAATCTAGTATCCGGTATCCATTGGCGGAAGCGGCAAATGAAATAGAAGGAGTTGCACTTTACGCGGTTATAAAAAAAGCCCCTGTCGGCGGTTTTTATTGGATAAAAAATGGTCGAATTCCGAATCGATAATCGAGAGCATCATACTCGGGGGAAATCGGTGTTAGGGCGAATAACGAGCGGATGATTACACAGTTGCCGTGAGCATAATGGCAAGGCCCAAGAACGTTAAAAGAGAAGTAGGGAAGGTAACGGGGTGAGGGTAAGATAACCGAGCCCTCATTCTTCTTCTTCGATTATTATAGGCGCCATTGCACGAGCGTGTTATAACTAAAATGTAACTGATTCTAAGCCAATGGCCTAGCCACGTTGAATTATTATTTTCCTTTTAAATCACTAAAATTAAGCAACATGAGGATTGATTATTAAAATGGATAGGTGGGCCCGTAAAAAAAAAGAACAAAAACTTTCGTATGCTGTTGATTTATAGAAAGACAAAATTATGAAATATTTTCGATTGTATATAAATAATAAATAATTGAAAGAAGGTGTTCGTAGAGAAAACGATTCGAACCCGTAAAAGTCAGATTAAGATTAAGATTAAAAATAAAAATAAAATTYTAATATAACTGCAAAGAGGATGATTGTGGTGATGGGTGCATTTTCCGTGCACGAGAGCGCGTAAAACATGAACGGCTTGCATAATAAAAGCCTCCCTGTTGGGGATTGATCGATCGGAAGCGTTCGTCGCCGTTCCGAGAGGACACCGTTAGATCTTTTCATCGATTATTCCGGACGGAGGGACCATACTTCCTCTTTCGCGACACGCTGAACGTGGATACGGTCGATCGAGCCGCGAATAGAATAACATAAGTAGTAAAGTACGCGAGTAATGTTTTCATTCATCTTTCAGTCATACCGTAATAGTGCTTGGTATACGTTAAGTATACTGTTGATCAATTAAATAATTAACAGTACATCAAAATACAACGTTACATCCTATAAATAAATAATTTCTGATAGCTAAAAGATAATAAAGGCATGTCAAATTTTAAATTGATTGATCAAATGATTACTGAACACTCGATAGAAAAAATTCGGCATTTGTAAAACTTCTTCCTGTTTGCATTTACAGTTCACAATAATCACCGATTGATTACTATTTATTGTCACTCCTATAATAATAATAATAATTTCCTAATTTAATCGTTGATAGATTTAAATTACAAATCGTTAATTATAATAGGTAAAAGAGATTAAAAGGTGTATAAAGCAAAAAATGGTTTGTTACTTACACTCCTTGTTGCGATCCATGGCATGTTGAAGGGGCGAGTCGTCGACCTCCGCCTTAGGCGGCGACTGATTGCCTTCGGCCATTTCTGCTCCTGATACTGGAAGAACACCCGCGGTCTTCCTTCCTGCCACGTCGACAGTCGTTTTATCCTGCTGCGGCGAAACCTTCGTCGTACTTTTCTTACCGTTTCCACCGTCTCTGCAGGTCCAAGGGGAGATCAGACCGAAAGAAGGAGCAAAACGGATGGGGTGGGGTGGGTAGGGGGTGGGGACCAAGTTTTGCGAATTAATCTTTCATACGTCTCTCTGCTTTGGGGGAGAAGAGACCCGAAGAAAGGAAAGAAATAAGGAAGGAAGGAAGGAAGGAAGGAAGGAAGGACGCGTAGGAACGCCGACAAAACAAAGTGTCGATCTTCGATCTTGGATCCTTCCTTCTCGAATAGAAGGAAAACAACCTTCCTACTTTTTTGTATATCCTTCGATCAAAGAATGATGGATCAATCGACACTACGAAACCTCCCTTATTTTATAACATCGATTTATCGATTCGATGAAACTTTCAAACAACGTCATTATCTTTCCACGTAAATGGGTATTAGATTGCAACGAAAGCGTTCCTTGTCTACTTGATAGATCAATCTATCGGATAGATCGGTTATTCATGAAGAATTCAAACGCTTATCGTTGGATCTTACTAAAGTTCAAACAAAATTACTCAGCAACTTGATCGTTGGTAAATAACTTGTTCCATGCACGCACAATCTAACTCTCTTTAGCATTTTTTGAATTTTGAAAGTAATATTTATGGGGGGGGGGCTTTTTTTTTATTATTATTCGAGAAGGATCCAATATCGATATTGTTGAATATTAAAAAAAAAAAAAAAAAGACAAATAAATACTCACCTATCTTCTTTGTTATCGCGTCTAGGGTCTTTCCTTTCCCTATCCTTTTCTTTAAAATTGTCAGCCCTTTTTGGCTTATTAGCTTTCAACTTGGAATCGCCCTTGGCGACCTTGTGTTCGAGGACACCGCTCGAGTCAGTCGCCACGTTGCTCCCGTTGTTCGTTCGAGATCCGGAAGTACTTGTCGACGTAGTAGACGTAGAGGCGGCACGACCGTTAGTATAATCCTAATTGTAAGAAAAACTTCTTCTCGTCATTTTTTTCGGCTTTCTAAAGTTCTGAAAAGGGGAGGCCAAGAAAAAAAGAAAAAAAAAAAAAAAAAGAAATAAGCATAAAGAAAAGGAACGAACACTTACCTTAAACCACTCCGGATAAATGGCGCTAATGGTATCGAGAAGATCCTGATCGAGCTGTATCCTCCAAAATGGGGAGCCGCTGTCCAACCTGTGGCCAGACTCTGAAATGGTAGAAAAATACGAGCCGGTGAAAAATGAGATTAGACACGAGTCGAAATAAAAAAAAAACAAACCAAACGAACAAAAAAAAAACATGAAAGGAGAAAGATGGATTCTTGGAGTAAAGCAACGGGGAATACGATGCTCGAGGAAGAGTTGAAAACAAGGATTGACCGGTAAGGACCTCTCCGAGTCATTCCCACCGCATAAGGGCTAATGGTCCCCCGTCGACCAATAGCCCGAAGGCGTATCAAAACCTCGCGGAATGCCGAGCAGGTAGTTCTTTTGCGCATTCCACGGGATTCCCTGCCTAATTTAAACGTTCGTTCCTACCGGTCGTGGTGGAGGGATCACCTCTGGACATTGCAGAAGCAAAAGACACAAGAGGCTCCGTAGTACTTCGGACTTCGTCCTACCACTGTTATACTACGTTGCTGCTACTTAAGGAGTAAGAGGAGAAATGGGAGGAACGAGGGACGGGGACAGGGACGGGGACGGGGGGAGGGGACACACGTCGTTACGACGACATTCTTAGGGCGGCCGACACGCGTGCCCTGCCTTCGTGATCGAGAATCGAACGACGAGAGGAGAGATCGACCTAAAAGGTAGACAAAGAAGAAGAAGGAAAAGATGCGGGCTCCCGCGGGACTTTCGGAATCGCCAGAAAACACGATGCATTCGCGATAACTGCTCGAACTCGTACTCTACCAATAACGAGAGATCGATTTAAGTCTCACTATAGTAGTTTATATATAGTTATTTTTTGTTCGTTGATTTATCATCAACGCGAATTATAAAAGTATGCAGATGGATGAACAATTCGAACGATCAACTAAATCAAAATTCGTTTAGAAATATGCAAACACCTTTTTTCTTTCTATCTTCGAAAAAAAAAAGTCGTAAAATAGTTTGGATCCTCGAACGATGTTTCTTAGCGTGGAATAAAAAAAAGGAAGGATTCAACCTTAACCCAATAAATGATTAGTGTGGTTCCTTCATCGTGTAGAAAGGAGAAACGGAATAAACGGTCCAATCAGTATGCAAGCGCCGAACAATCTGCTGTAAATCACGTCGTGAATCATTCGCTGACATAAATCTAGTTTGGTCGATCAATACGCGCCTAACCGGTCGGACACATTAGTTAAACCTGGTACGTACATCGTCGTTTACAGGAGGAGCGCTCGTGCGCTCTCTCGTGTGCTCTCGCGCGCACGCTTCGATCTTCTGGTTAATACACAAAAAACTTTTGAACGACGGCGAATGGCCTAATAGCGCCGATTCTGAGAGTCCACAGAGAGATCATCGATCGATACATCACCCACCCGATGATCGAAGTCAGGCCCGGGGATATCGTAGATCCAAGATATCGTCAGACTTCTTAACAGAATACCCATCTTTTTCTCCCACCCCTTTTCATCTTACTTTTGCTTAATTATCTCGACCATTACGATCCTCGCATTATTATCGTTTCGTCATACACTCGTAGAATTAACGCTCTTTTATCGAGTGTTCTATAACTCGTTAAAGATCACGTATTTTCTTGACATTTTTAGAAAAAGATTTTTCCACACTTTTTCGGGTCAACGAATGTACACGATGATTAAAAAAAAAAAGAGGAAGAAGATGGGAAGAAGGTTGCATAAAAAGGTCCATGGGGTTGCTACGAAAACAATAACAAATCCTTCCAGCCGGTTTTGCAACCCCAGAAATGAGAGGGGAGTGGGACAAGGGTTAGGACGATTGGAAGCGAGAGAAAGAGAAAAAATAAGAGAAAGAGAGGGAGAGAGAGAGAGAGAGGGAGACAGGAGAGATCGTTCGAGTCCCTCTCTCGAAGGACATATTCCGTGGAAGATACCGAATGCGAAATGCATTCCTCGGAAGCGGGCATGGCGCATCGACCGCCCGTCGAAATTCGGGCAAATAAATCTCGCGCTCTTCTCTCTCATTCTCTACTCTGCAGTATAGTAGCTCGTTCGGCGGCTCTGCACCTTTTTCTTCTCTCTCTCGCGATCTTCCGATCTCTTCGATCTACTCTCGTCGTACACACAGGCGTATCCCGAGGTTGGCGCTCCTGAAATTCAAGGAGGTGTATGAGGGGAAGAGAAGGGCCCGCGTACGCCCTTGCGTCTGGCCCAGAAGCGGCTCTACTCTGAGTCACTCTCTCTCGTCAGGCCCTCTTTTCTCTTCCTTGCTTGCTTGCTCTGCCTTTTCTCTTCTTCTTATTCTTCTTCTTTTCCTTTTCCTCCTCCTCCTCCTCCTCCTCCTCTTGTCCGCCCAACTCCTGTCTCTTACCTTGCCATGCCTTGGCTTGCCTTGCCTTGCATTGGCTTGCATTGGCTTGCATTGGCTTGCATTGCCTTGCGCGCTCGGTAGCCGCGAAAAACTGCGCGCTGCACTTCGGGAATGTCGTTGGCATGTACTGGGTGTTCCCCTTTGCCGCCGAGCTCCGCGACCGACAAGAACGGCGACGTCCAGTTTTCGCCCCCTTCCACCCTTTTCTCCATCCCCACCCTCACCTTCTTTGCCTTTCTTTATTTTTGTTTGTTTTCTTTCTTTTTTTTTATTTTCGGGACCCCTTCGTTTTCGAGGAATCGCCGCCCGAACTCGGGGATCTTCCTGTTGATCCGTTTCTCTCTTTCCTCTCTTTTTTTTTTTTTCTTCTCGATCGGCGAATTTTCGTCAAACGATTTTTATAGTTGACGCGTTACGCGATAATATCATCGAGAGCTTTTGTCTGTGTTTGAGGGAATAGAAGGGGTGTTATTTTTCTTTGGTTTTACATTTATATGTTCTCTTTCTCTTTCCTTCGTGAAATTTTATTTACTCGTCTAATCTTTTCTCTTTGTTTTTTATTTATTTATTTTTTTTTTTCAAAGATACTTTAGAGATTTGAAGGTGCCAACGCGCGTTAACATATATATCGCCCACGCATCGATAAAAGATCGTTCGATAGGTTGAAAATGTCAAAAGTATCGTCGGATTATTTAGCATTTTTCGACGCGTCGGCGAACACGCCAGATTACAGGGTACCGAAATCGATCGAGTTGGGATCGAAAAGCTTTTACTTTTTCTTTATCTCTCTATCTTTCTCTTTTTCTTTATTCTTCTCTCTCTTTTTTTTTTTTTTTTTTTTTTTTTTTTTACTACCTCGAGAAATAAACTATCCTCGACGACGATGAACGCGGGCGTAACCGACGTACGTCGTCGGTAACTTATTAATATTCATTGATCGTACCCAGTCGATCAATTATTTTCTTCTTTAAAGTTGAGTAAGATATCTCTTAATAAAATATACGATTTCGTAAAATACAAATATAATATAGATAAGCTATTTGGTTAATCGTCCTACGTAAAACTTTCCCCCTTTTCTTGTTTTTTTCTTCTTCTTCTTCTTTTTCTTCTAAATAATTATCATTAATAGAATTTTATTATAATAATTTAAACACCTTAATTAATTCTAAATTTATTTGAAAAATCCCAATATACAAATGCAGAATTTATTTTGTCAAAAATTGGTAATTAATTTCAATTGATAAAAACCCATTTACAATGCTTTCGTAATGACCACAATTTGTATTTATATTTTTTTTATATTAGAATAAGAATGAGCTCAAAAGTGACATTTTCTAGTCTACTAACGATGTGAGAACCCTTCAATTTTACTTTGATAAACGGTAGAGGGATAGGATCGTTTTTTTACTCGTTATTGACGATTCATTTAATAGATAGTACTAAAGATCTGGGACTGCAAATAAGTGCGGAAAAAACCAAATATATAGTAACCGATATAGGCTTAGTACTGGAACTTTGGTCGTCTGGGATAAAACTTTTGAGCGGGTCAGCAACTTTAGGTATTTTTTGGATCGATCATACACCAGACGAACGAAATTAACGAAGAACTTAACACGTTGACGCCGGCGCCGATTTTCAGTGTCTGCGCTGTTGGGCGGCACTCGAATCTAAGATGCGCTTCATCTGGCGGTGCGTGATTTTTGCTTGTTCAAACCTAGACCAAGCGCGGGCCACCGGTGGTACGCGTCGGTGTGAACGTGTTAAGAAAAGAATCAATCTAAGCAATTCATGTTTTTATTCGATTAACAAATTACTCAGCTCGCGGTTGCTGTCTAGGCGATTGGAAATCAGGATTACAGGACAATCATCCTGCCGGTAGTCTTTTATGGTAGCGAAACGTGGTGTCACTTGCGTTACGGGCCCAAAAGAAATTTAGGGTTTAGAAAATAAAGTTGTTTCGTAAAATGTTCGGTGTAAAACGCGATGAGGAAATGGGTGAATGGAGAAAACTCCATAACGTTGAAGTACATCGATTGTACAACAAACCGAACATTATCAACGTCGTCAAATCACGCCGATTAAGATGGGCTGGTCACGTGACGCGGTGCATGGGGGAGGATTGAACGGCGCACAAAATATTGGTCGGTATACCAAACGGGAAAAGACCATTAGGTAGACCAAGACGTAGATGGGAGGATAATATTAGAAGGGACCTGAAAGAAATAGGATACGAAGACCGCGAATGGAAGGATCGGGGACAATGGCCCCGGGATTTGGTATTTGCGGCAATGAACTTTCCAGTTCCTAATGCCAGTTAATACTAATAATAATAATAACAATTATATGTCATTTACGTATTCATTTCACGTTCACGAAAAGTTTATATACTCAACACCAAAACTATCCTGAACGGAATCTTTTTCCGATTATTAATCGAACCCGAGCAAAGTATGTTTCTCGCGTAAAGGGTATGAACCACTCGCAGCGAGAAAATACTGGGAGGGATCCGGTTAAGAAGAAAAGAAGAGAAGAGAAGTGGTGTTCTCACAATAGCCGTGCTTTGCCGCTCATTAGAGGCCAGGTCAGGGGTCACTGGATACCGGCGCTTTGTGTTTTGGGCCCGTATGTACGTTACGTACAATGTCCACGCACGAGCTTCGCTGTTTCTTAGCGTTTCTTTCCCCCGTACGGTGTTACACGGTACCGCGAA